GCGGAGGGGCGGGGCCGGGCCGGCGGAACTTCCCTCGGCTGAGGTTCGGCTCCGGCCCCGAGTCAAGGCCGCAGTCCGGGACTACAGGCCTGGTGGTGTGGGAGGTGCAGCGCTCGGCTATGGGTGCGCCCCGGCTCGGCCTGTCCTGCCCCGAGGGGCGACCTGCGGGGACTGGGGGTCGCGGCGGGAGAGACCGAGGGCCGGGAGAGCGGCCCGACGGTGAAGGTGAATAATTCTCCGGAGAGAGGCCCTGACTGTATCTTTCTCGATAAGCACATTATTTTCTAGCAATCGTTTACGCTTTCCAGATTCACCCGTTATCCCTCTAAAAAAGTTACTATAAAGTTAGCCTAACCTCATTTGACCTTTTTCAAAGGCTTGAGTTTTCAATCCCCGCCCATGCGGTACCCACAGGTTTTCCGTCGCCCGCGTCACTGGCCGACCTTTTACACTTGGAGCCAGAATTCTTGCTGGGAGGGAGGCTTTTTAAAATCCTCAGCCCACAGCCCTTCAAGTGCCTCGGGCTTCCCTGCAGTGTGTCTTTACATCCCTCACACGTAGTTATGATGGGTTTACACCAGGTTAATACTTCAACTGCTTTGCAATTGAGATGTTAATAGGCACATTCCTGATTAGCTTTCGGGAGCCTGAGTTACTCCTAAATTTATTTTGAAAAACATGAGCGCCAGCCCTTTGGGTGTTGCTGCTCACTGAGAAATCAAGAAAGGGAAATCAGGCAGAGAAAAACATACGGCACCAGCACTCCACGCCAAACCAATCCCGGAGGGGAGAAGCAGTGCCCAAGTGAATGCCTCCCAAGAGTTCCTCTGGCTCAAAAAGGGTGACAGGTGGAAAGGAGAGGGTGGTGAGGAGTGGGAATCACTCTAATACTACAAGGGATGTTTCCTTCGCAGAAGGGAAAACCACCTCCAGCCAGAGAATGATGGATTGAAAGGGTGCTTTTAACAATTTCAATTTTACTACCCAGGAATCCATCTCCTCATATCCCTGAATCCTGGCTTTCACCTGCAGGGATACTGATAGTTTGTATTCAGTCCTGTGCTGCTTTTCTAGGCCTCTGGATGTGGTACTGCATTTATAGTAATACTTTCTGCTCCCTGATGACCTTGGAAACTCCGGTGCATTCAATAACGTTATTAAATTAGAAAAACAGTATTGCCCACTTTTGAAATCCAAGCCATCACACAAATAGAACTAGAGTTGCATGCGGAATGAATATTTTATTACTAGATTATAAAAATAAAATACAAAATAATTTCAAAACAGAACTTAAAACACTGTACAAAGCTGTAATATGATACAAATGGAAAAATTAAATAAATAATTACACTTTTATGTACAGATGACCCATACAAAAGCACTCCATGTTTCTGCCAATACTCTGTCCTTGGTTGCCTGAGCAAAAATGCATAAAGAGGGCTGCTTGGAGGGGAAAGGGACACAATACCTTTGGAGGCATTTCCAAGAACAATTTCTCATCACTGATTTCATGAAGAGGAGAAGAAAGGGAGAAAACTGGAATTATCAAAGTCCTCTATGCTAACATTGGTCTTGCTCGACAAGAGAGAATTCTGGTTTGTGGTTCAATCTGATTTAACAGCTGCCAATAGTTCATAATTTTCAAGATTTATATCTAATGCAATGTTTCCCCCTTCCCCTTTTTTCCTAAAAGCTGTCAATGTGTAAGTAAATGGCCTAATTAAATTGGCATTGGCTATTTTAGGGAAGGAGTCAGGAAGGGGACCAGGGGCTGTGTATGAGGGAGAGGTGAGGAGACTCAAGCCTGGGTCATCAGATCTGTTCTCTGTTTGTTTTACCCAATCCAATTTCAGAGCCCCAAGTGGCACACTGTTACATTTCCTTTATCTTCCTATCTGTACTTCTGAATGTTTTTTATCTTAGTGAACTGATTTACCTATCTGAATAGAAAATTTAAAAGAAAATTGTTTTGAAAAAGTTCCAAGGGCATCCCCCTCCCTGGGTTGCTCCCTAAAATAAATCATATTCAAGCTCTGGTAGCCTTGTTTACCCTTGTGGGTGAGTGAAGAACACCCAGATAGACTCCAGGTAGGTTGAAGTGCTGCACATGGAATTTTAAGGATTTAAACTGTGTATTATTGGGTGGAAGGGGTGAAGCATCATATGGCAAGGGTAGTTTATACAAAAACTTGGTTTACTCAATGTTTTTAACTGAGTGAACATTTCTGTACACAATATGGAATTAATTAAACGACTGAAAAGAAATAAAGTTCCTATCCATCGTTAGCATGTAAAGTTATGTCACCAGCAAATTCTATAGTTACATGGGCTCAAAGATCTGCCTCAGTGAGTCATATTCTCTAGGTCAAGAAACCCAGAACCCCTGGCCCAGGTTATCTGAGACACATAACAGTATCGCCAGTGATAACACACTATGCCCGTAACTGTCACTTCCAATTAAAGAGGCAGACCTGATTAAAGTTTTACACAGCAACGAAAGAAAAGACTTCACTTCTTTTACATGTCTCTTTAAGACCAAGGATCCAGCGAAGTCTAAGGAAATATTCAAATCATTACTGAGTAAATGGTACTACCTGGCTGTTCAGTGCCTTGAGATTGTGTATAACCTCAAGGTGACGTTGATCTTGTCACTTTAATTTTCTTTAAATTTGTTTAAGGGGAATAATTTAAAAGTCAGAGCCAATAATCAAAACTGAATTTAAAAAATGTATTCATGGGCCAAGACTTTCTAATGTCATCATTTCATGTCCATCCAGGGATTTTTAGGGATTGAGGTGTGCAGCATCCAAATTCCCCTTTACATGAACAGGGATCCGTATCCCAGGTCCTGGAGCTACCTAAGAACTAAAGGAATTCCCCATACACCTCTTACAGTTCTCTCTAGCAAGGATGGCAACAGATAGGCTCTCAAGACTATCTGGGTTAAATTTCTCATAATTCTAGAGGGACAGCCAAACTACTACTATCCAAATGATCTGACGTTTCCACACTACACCCACATCCTTTAAAAAAAAATTTTTTTATAAGAATTTATTTGAGCCAAAACTGAGGACAACTGCTGGGGAGCAAGATCTCAAATGCTCTACTCCTAGATCCTTGAGGTCCACACCAAAGTTCTGTTGGATGAGACAGGGAAGGTGGGATGTCCTACAACCACCTGGGGCTTCCACAAGGAAGAGAACCATCTTACGCACCATCTACGGTTTCTGAACTTGGGTAAATATTGATTTGTGAGGACTACTATAGTGGTTCCATTCCTTAATCCTGTAATACTTTTTGTATTAAAACATAGATAAGTAACTGCAGATAAACTGTCTACAAAACCAAACTCAAGAAAGTTAAACAATGGAGTTGTCAATCACTATAGCCACAGTAATACAGGCCCTAAAATCTCTCTCCCTTTAGGCAAAGCCCCAACACATCTGTGGTAAATGCACATAAGCAGAGATGGGCAGATGTTCAGGGAAGAATGTAAACAACTTAATTCCAAAATACAGGAGCATGACAGGAGAAATGGTTCCCTAACATGTGCCACGTTTTGATATAAAGGAATGAAAAACATTTTTAAATGTGAAAACTTTGATGTCCAAGACTAAATCTAGGCTTATCTATAAATAAATATATTTTCAAATAGCCATAGTATGATGCATTTTCCCCCTAAATTCTGAATTCTGGATCTTGCTTCTCTTATCATCAGTTCCTTATGTTAGATTAAGAATGTTCCTAGAACAAAGAATCCTCTGCTCTTGGAGAAAAGGCATCTATTTTTAACTCAAGGCTATTGGGTATAGTAAAACGAATTGTTGTTTTAACTACCTGTGTCTGGGTTTATAAAACATGCACCAATGTACACCTTTTCCTTGTAGATTGAATACAACCATAGAAATTTTCGCATAAAAATCTGTGGCTTGGAAGGAATCTCATGGTTACCAAAGAACCTCAAGTTCCCATAGTGGCTAGGAGGAGCTAAACAGAAAGAGATACTGCACAACTAGTTCACTGTATTAGTAAGCAGCTGAAATTGGTTTAGTATTTTAAAGCAAATAATATAAAGTGGATAATAACAGTGGGTTTCAATTATTTTGCTACTTATTTAGGACTTGATTAACTTGACAACTTTTACAAAAAACATTTCACAACATGCAACTTAAAAACAGTAAATGTAGCTATACCACTGTCAGCAAGGCCAGCTTGCAGTACCAAGTTGAGAATGATGGTGCCTGTCTAACACTTAGCATTGAAAGATGTTTATAATCTGTGCTATAAAGTTAAATTTAGTATGACCCAATTTACCTTTTTTGTTCACTATATGTTAAAGTTAAGTGCCTTTAAGCTGTGCAAAAGATTACTATGTGAAAATTTTAAATCTTTTAACCCACCTGTATACCCTGGAGATTTGGCAGCATAACTTAGAAAGAATGCTTACCTAAAGGGGCCAAATGGTTGCTAATTCCACCCAAGTAATTACAGAGATAAGATAGGGAAGGGAAGGGTAAATGTGACTAGGTAACCTGCCACTTTGTTGTGATAGGAGAAATGACGAGGCACTTTATTTTCAAAAGATAACTTACTTCTGCCCCATAATTGTTTTAGTATAGTTTGGCTTGACTTTAATTAATGGCCATGTCCCTCATCTTAGGTAGAATAACCAAACTGGTTTAAAACTACTTGGATGATCTATGTTTGTCACCGAAATCTGAAATATGCCATCACTAAAAAAAATAAAGAAAAACTACAACTCAGCTCATTCTTTGTACCATACTTTAAAATGAAACAAAACCAAAAATCCTTGTGCCAAAAGTGCTTTACTCAGGGCTGTGAACTTCTCTTTTTAGCCCGAGCCATGTAACATCTAAAAGCAAAAACTGCATTTAAAAACCATAATCGTAAATCTCTATATAGGGTGGGGCAAAAGTAGGTTTACAGTTGTGAGTACACAAAACAGAGTTTATTCTTATATTCTTATTTACTAATTACTGTATTATTTTCCATACAAAGAACTATAAACCTACTTTTGCCCCACCCTGTATAAGACAGTAGTACTTTTAAGTGGATCTACTGATACATAATATATAATTAGTCTGTGTTCTTTTAAAAGTATCAAGCAGAAAAATCTTTGGTTAACTTTTTTCTCTACATGCAAAATAAAATATTCTTACATAGCGAGGCTGTTTCTGGATCTTGAGTTTGTGGGTACCATTTAGAAAAGGGAGCAACATAGTGGAAAAGTTAGGAGAAAAATGGAAGGAACTAAGAAAGGAGAAAAAAACATTAAGTTGCCATCACTGTCAATTTTGACTACTAGCAGAGAAATGCCAGTAAGATATAAAATAACACACAAACCACACTGCAGCTTCATCAGCTTTTCCAACGGTTACCACAAACACATTTCTGACTAAAGGGGTCAGGACTTAAAGCTGGCTACTTTTAGTATAATTTAGCTAATACAACAGAAAAAAAGATAATTTCTTAATTGTAAATTACTTCCTAACCACCCCTCAAAAAGTAAGGTTAAAAGAGGAAAGTAGAATGGTCATTTAAAGAGATTTTTAAAAAAATCAATTTATGTCAGACCCATGATCATCATCCCAGTTTATCCACTTTAACCATAAGGACAGCATCATGTGATTAACATGACAAATCTTTGAACCAGTATTACAAGCATGTCCCAGTAATTTTCTCCCTATTAAAATCTTTAAAAAATGAAAATGAAATAACCTATCTTGGCTTGTTAAAGACTACCAACCTTTGCATTATACACAAGGAAGGCGAGAAGAATCTTAAGTGTCAAATACCAAGAACATATTTTCAGAAAATGAAGACAGGCAAAGCCCAAGTGTACGTGAGACACACCATAAAAAGGTATTTCACCATCTGTGATCTTGACATTACAAATGGAGAATGAGAAAGAATGAGTTTATATAAGCATAAGTTTCTCTATATATTTATAAATATTTATATAATTTACCATGAAGACATGCAAGTAGTGTTATAGCAACTATTATACAATATAATACAGAAGGATCAGTCTTTCAATGTTACAGTTGCTTTAGGTAAACAACAAATATGTCTTATCTATTGTATTCCCCTATAGTGCTTGAAACCAGAGAGAAATTAAGTTTCCACACTAGCTATATTTCTTATGGGAGACCAAATATGCCTCAATAGTGTTTTGAGTTTTGTTTTGTTTGTGGGTTTTTGTTTTGTTTTTGTTTTTAAAGCTCAACACATAAAGAGAACAAGATAAATTCAGTGCAGCTTCAGGGCAACTTTGATGCAGCATTAGAATATGTTCACTTGGTGAGAAAATATATTTTTTTCCCCAATTCAACCATATTAGGTTTGGCAGCAAACACAAGGTCAAAGAGAAAGCACAGATGTTTGCTAGAAGGCAAATTTCAACAGCAAGCGGACCAATTTACCTGACTTAATAAGGTCTTTACAACACAAAAAACACCAGAGTATAAAAGAGCCCATTTTCAAAGTTTACTATGATTTAATTTTGCCTGATTCCTGTTAGAAGAGTGAGATTAGAACAAATATATCTTCTTTGTAGCTTTATAAATTGAGATTACATGGAAATCAGGTCAAGAAGCCCAAATGTTCAAACTAAAGCACAGGAGAAGCAGGTAATAAAACTTTAAAAGATAAATACTGAACCTAAATTTATTTCCCCAGATACTCATTCCTAATTGACTGAATGTATAAAATACAAAGTTTGAGGATCATAAGTCTCAACAACATACCTAATTTCTTTCTATTTTTCTTTCTAAATCTCTAAAAGCATAAGGTCACATGCCACAGCACGGTACTTCCTTGGTATCATCTTGGAGGTTGATGTTAGAAATAGTTGGTACCTAGAAGAATTAAGGAAGCAAGGTCCATTCTGGTCAGTTTTCCTTCCACAAAGAGGAAAATTACAGGGAAAGAGCATTCTTCTACCTTGAAGGGTATTAACTCCCACTCTGCCCCTCTCTCCCTAAAGCACTAAAGCCTGCAAACTAGCTCTATTTAGACTTTTCCTTCCATTACCTAAGTGTCATCAGTTATTTTTCACAATAAAAATATACCGAGAATATAATGCTCCAAAGAAAAATACTAGGGGACTACAAAACAGTAATCGGATTTGAAATTTTTAGCATGTGCTGCTAAAAGCATATTAGAATGTATTGTTGTTAAAATACAAGAATAGAGATTGGATCCGGTGAGAAACACTAACTTTAAAAAATGTGAAATCCAGGGAGGGTACTAGGAATGAGGCAAAGTAAATATAGACAAACACACAAGCCAAATATATGTCTATTAGCATTGGCTCCCCAGCAACAGGCTTCTAACATATTGGAGCAATTCTGATCTCCAAAGTTTGGGAGTTTTGAATGAAAATATTAAAACAGGAAGTTTCAATTTTGCTATATAATGTTAGAATAGAGCCTTAAAAAATAAGTAGGCCAAATCCTTTAAAATTCCATTCCATCTCCTACCTCCAACTCTCTTGTTTCAGAAGCAGCTAAAAAAATTAGTTCATTTAATCAGTTTCTCCCCCTTGGATTTGCTAGACTGCCCTTCCTATGCAAAGGCATTGATTCCTGATCTGCTTGTTGCCTGCCTTAGTAATGCCTTATCATATATTTATGTCTCCTTATAAATAATTTATCATGTTACTTTCTTTTGCAAGAGAAAATCACAGATTTTTAAAAATAGTACAGGGACACACATGCAACAGGTTTAGGAGGATGATCTCACACCTTTCACAGAGATGCAGCCTGCCTCCTATCTGCTGAGTTTACTGGCTGACTTACTCTTCCCTGGGGGAGCTTTAGTGCTGGCTGAGTGGTGGTGGAGGCTGCCGGATCCTTTCAGGCCATTCTTGCTGGGTTTGCAATGCTCCTGTTGGCAGGACCTCCTAGAAGAGGAAGATCCCGAGTGGCTGGGAGGTGACTTGCTTCTCCCCAGATGCGGGGATGAACTCCTCTGGTCATGGTGGGGCCGTCCAGCCCTAGATGGTGAGGAACTAGACGTGCGAGGCAAAGAAGAGCTTCGAGGAGAGGCACTGGGACTCCTGCGAGGGACAACTGGACTCTTGGGTGGTGTTTTTGGATTGTGAGGGGATCCTGGACTCTTGCATTGAGTAGTGCTCCGGGGTTTCTGAGATCCATTTTGAAGAATTTGGGCCAGGCGGGAGAAAAGGTCTGAGTCGGAATTGCTACTCCCTAGAACTTTGTATCTGCGGAGCCTTAAAAGTACAGGGAAGAATTATTTTCATTTTAATTCATTTCAAGTGTGCCTAGAAAGTCCCAAAGTCCCAAATCATAATGTGTCTGATGTGAATTAAAATCTAAACACAGGATACAGTTGCTCTTTCACATACCAGTTATATGACCATGGACAAATTCTTTAACGTCTCCTAGCTTTTAATGGGAATACAGTGGTACCTCAGTTTTCGAATGTCTTTGTTGACGAACATTTCGGTTTACGAACACCGTAAACCCAGAAATAAATTCTTCGGTTTTCGAACACGCCTCAGATGTCGAACATGCCATGCAGCTTCCGCTGAGGGCAAGATCTTGAGGCCCAGCTGTCGGCTGTTGATCCCTCGGTTTTCAAACATTTCAGAACTCGGTCTTCCGGAATGGATTACATTCGAAAACCGAGGTACCACTGTATTATCAATTGCACAGCATTACTGAGCAGCCAAGTGCAATAACCTCAATAAAGTACTTAGTTGGATGTCTGCCATTCAGAAGCACTTAGATGTTGTTATTACCCTTCTCCTATGGCACGTTTGCTCTTCTGATTTTAGGATTAAGCCTACTCTCAAGGATCTTTTAGTAAAAATTGAAAATTGGAATAAAACAATTCCTTTGTGCCAGGACCTAAGTGGGAAAGTTGAGTTCCCTCTGAGTTTCCAGTTCCAAGCTGGTCAGCTCTAATGTCTGGCACAATGCCACAGGCTTGGCTTAGTTACCAAGTGCTACTTTTAGGGGATACGTAAAATGTTAAATAATGAATGATAATTAAGATTTGTTTGTTGCAGTCCAAAGCAGTTCAGGCCACAGATATGCCATCTCTATTAAGCATAGATGCCAAGCAGAAGAAAAAGGGGGATGTGTAAATATTGTTCATGGAATCACCTTCTAAAATCTAAGTGACTGCTGTTTACTTATCATCATTCTTCCTATGGAAGTCTAGTCCCACTGGCACTTCCAATCTAATATTTAGTTACCCTTGAACCTGAAACCCTAGGGAAAGTCAAAACTAAACTTTCTTTAGTTAAGGGTAACAAGTTCTGCTGAGTAATGATACAGATAGAATCTCACTTCAATATAATTCAGAAATCCTTACAACAGGTGGAGGCCTATTGTTACACTATCTAGGATAGGCTATAGTTTTCATGTACATGTATTTTGATTTTCACTTTATTGTTAAAAGACTGTCCTTTTCCTCTCTCTTCTCCAAGAGTTTAGACCATTCTCCTCTGTGAAAGTGAGTAATGGCTCCAAGGAAAGCACTCTCTAACTGGTTCATCACTTCCCAACATTTTCCCCTCTTCTTCAAAATATAATCACTCTATGGTCAATTATACATGGGAAATTCAATAAAAAAGTATACCATATGGTAAATATTAAAGCAGTAACTTTATTATGTATAGTTGTATCATCAGACCTAGGGAAATCTCCTATAGGATTTTTGTTTGTTTAATTCATTATAATCAAATAAATAGTAGTGCTACCAGGGCCTAGTCATCAAATGATGGACACAGAATTTGACATCATAATGACATCTGTTATAAAAGGATTCTGATTAGTCAAAGCTAGAAAACTACCGAGTATCTAGTTAAAATGGACTGGAAGAGAAATAACTTTTGTTGCATGCTAATTAGCACTGCAAAAAGCTTTAGACATACACTCCCTTATTTCATCCTCCTAAAACCAAGAGGCAAATGTTCTACCCATTTTACACATAGGGAAATTGAGGTTCACGTTGAAGAAAGCTAAGAATTAACTAAGAGAGCTAAGAATTAACCTGGATCAATCTGACCCCTTCTACTACACTGTGCTATAAGGCTTGGGAAAGGCAGGGGAGGAAGTAAACAATCAGAAGCAGGCAACAAAGAAATGAAACCACTGACGTATTATAGTCAAGCAGATAGAAACAGTGCTACAGACTTAACATACGGAGAGCATCCAGCATTACCTGGCTTCTACTCCGGGCCTCGTGGGTGGCTTTCCTGGTGGTGGCCGAGGCAAGAACTGTGATGGAGTTGAGCTATTGACTTGATCTGTGTTGACCCATGACACTGGCCTTGGAATTTTGCTCTTTCTAGACTGGGAGATGATAGGTGACAAAAAGCTATCTTCAGCTGACCTGCTCAGGGGGGTGTCTATTGCCAGTCTTGAAAAGGGAGTCAAGACTTCCTCCTCAGAAAAGGGAGCAGGAACAGTGGCTAGTCTCTCTTCCAGCAATTTATCAGAGGCACTTGAGAGGTCCCCAAGGAAAGACTTGAGTTGCTTTTTTTCCACCAGAAGTTTGAGTAGGTCTGGTTGATAAGCTTTCTTTTGGAGGAGTTTTTCTTTTGCAGAGACTGGAGAGGATGATTCAAAAGCTGAGTCTATCTCTTGTGCTAAAACAGGGATTCGGCTGTGTCTAGTTACGAAGGATGACCTAATCACATCCTTCCGGGATGCGGGACAACGTTCACTCTCTGAAACACAATTAAATAGCTCTCTATTTCTAGGTGCAATTTTCTCTTTCTTACCCTCTTGGTGCAAAACAGTAGAGAGGTCTCCTTGATCACCTGGCAAGTCTTCACTCTTGATGTCATCATCCTTAGATATCTTACTTTTTTGCACTGTTGCCACCTGGCCTATATGTTCTTCAGCATGTGGGTCAATGACTCCTGGAGAAATTTCTGAAGTTTCAACTGCCTGAAGAGTCATTATCTCATGATTTTTGTCTTGATTAGGCACCACACTAAAAGTCTGTGTTTTTGTCATATCAAGAGGTTCGGTAGTCGCTGAGTGATCTCTTTCCACAGTTACCAAGTCTCCTGGGAGAGAGGAGATCTCAATATAATGCTGCCCTTTACTTAACTTCTCATCTTCATTATCTGACCCTAGCAGAATGCTTTTCTCTTCAGTTTCCCTAGGGAAACTCTCAAATTCTCTCAAAGCCAGTCTGTTATGGTCAGGAAGGTCCTTTGGTCCCAGGTCTTGGGATTTGTCACACTCTCTAATATTGGGTAACATGTCATGACCAATATCTATCTGAAGCCCCAAGTCTGTTCTGCTTCCTCCACTAGGAGGTTCTCCCTCTGTCACAACCAAGCCAGAGAAGTTCTCTCTTGGAGAATAAAGTTCCACAGTGGGCTCCATGGGCTGAAGGTCTTTCTTCTCTGGCTGCTGACCACAGTGAAAGCTTCCTGAAGTTGACTGTGTAGATGCCACAGAAGGTCGAGGAATTGTAATCTGGAGAGAGAGAAGAAAAAAAAGTTAAAATGCAATAATGTGGAATATAAATGAAGATGTGGGATTTGAGATTTAACACCTCAAATTCTAATTTATAAGAGGAACACAGATGTTGGCCAGGTCTGCCTAACTCATATATAAAATGAACAATTTTGAATAAAAATACATGACACTCAAGCTCCCCTACTCAGGAACTGTACAGCACAGTCTCCCCTGAGGTTCATCCCTGCCTTTTCTTTAGTCAGCTCTGTGTTCTGGAAGATGAGTTCTGCAGACTGTGCTACCCAGGATCCCTTGCCTTCTGATTTCTGGGTTTGCCCAATGTCCAGCACCAACAGAGAATCAGAGTTTGAGGAGAAAAAGGTCTGGTATTAATTCTCTCTGCTCCCTCCCCAAGGGACTGCAGGGTTAGTGGTGGCTACATTCTACCACTCCTGGCCACAGCTCCTGCTGCATGGCCCCACTCCCAGAGATCTGACTCTTACCAGGTTCTATTAACAGCCCCTCTTTCTCCTCTTTCAGGACTCAAGATAGGAATGACTCCCTCTATTTAATGTACCTATCCTAAGTTAAGGAAGTGATAACATCTGCTTTGCAAAGGTAAACCCTGAATTTAAGCCTCAAGAAGATAATCAAGATAGATATATTTTTTATCCCAAGCCCCACAAAATGAAGGAAATGGTAAAGTTTAATACCTTAGACATAAGTAAAACAGTGATGTAGCTGACATTTCTTTAGAGACCTTTAGTTAAGAAAAATATTTTAATTTTAAAATATTTGAAAATATGTCAAACTTATAATATTAAATATATAAGTACAAGTCTTTCAACAACTTGATAGAGAAAATGTTGCATATAATGTAAGAGAACTATGAGAAATCTTTGTGGACAGGAAAGCGTTGATGGGAAGGCAAAAAATACTAGAAGAAACGAAGCCAAAGTTTTAGAAAGCCTTCTGTAGGGAAGCACACCAGAATGCTATTGGAAAAATACTTGAACAGTGAGTCACTAGCATCTAGAGTCAAAGAAAAGAAGAAACTGAATCTGGGAAGGTGGAAAAGGGAATGAATGGAAAGAGAAAAGGTGGGGTAGAGAAAGGGATACAGGGAAGGGAAGGAGGTGGTAGGACCTGCCTCTAGCCCATTGGGTACCTCTGTACAATTTGGAAAAGGTTGCTCTTCAAAGAGGAAACAGCCCTGCACAAAGATGCAGAGTTTGGCTGGCAAAGTTTGTGCTAGATTGCAGCCCCAAATGTTCCTTGGGGCATGCAGTAAACTACCTATATAACTGTACAAAACAGTCTTGGGAAAGAAGGAAAGACCAACTAACTGATTAAAAAAAAGAGGTAGCCCAGTCAGAGGGGCTCACTTGGTTGAGTGTCATCCTGTGCACCCAAGGGTTATCAGTTCAATTCCTGGTCAGAGCACGTATTTGGGTTGCAGGTTCGGGGCATGTACAGAGGAAAACTGATCAATGTGTCTCTCTCACATTGATGTTTCTCCCTCTCCCTCTCCTTCTCCCTCTCCCACCCTCTCTCTCAGCATGTCCTCGGTGAGTATTAAAAAATAAAAAAAATAAAAAATAAGAGGTAGGCATTTATTTTACTGTTTTGCAGTGCAAGTAAATTCCTACAGAGCTATTCACAAAATCAAGTTTTGTTATCTTTTCTCAGTTTTATACCTGCCTGAAGAATTGTGTTCTAACAGAAAACATTTCATCCTTGGGGACAATGTTGTTTCTGGTGAGTTAGAAGAGCGGGCTGCTAGATGATGATGGAACTTAAGAAAAGCTGGTATTCTCACCCATGTAAGGACAGATGTACCTGCTGGTGCCTAAGACCTGTGTACACAGTTCCTTATTGCCTCCATATCTGGCTCTTCTGGAGCACCTGCTACTCACACAGTCACAGGGACAGCACTGCTTACTGAAAACAGCAGTGTAACACGAGTCTCCAGCTGAATGCCCAAAGTGAGAGTCAACAGTAGTTTCTTCAAAACATTCCTTTGCAAAAGGCCTAACACAATTGCATTCAGCTGCTTGTAAAACTGCAGATTCCTGCCCTAGCCTGTTTGGCTCAGTGGTTATGGCATTGGCCTACAGACTGAAGAGTCTAAGGGTTCAATTCCAGCCAAGGGCATGTACCTCAGCTGTAGGCTTGATCCTGGCCCTGGTCGTGGAAGGCGCAGGAGGCAACCAATTGGTGTGTCTCTCTCTCTCTCCCTTCCACTCTCTCTGAAAAGCAATGGAAAAAATATCCTCAGGTGAGGTATAAAAAATTTTTTTAAATTAAAAATAAATAAAAGTAAACTTCTTTAAAAAATGCAGATTCCTGGGCTTGCTCTATCCCAGACCTACTGAAACAGAAATTCTGAAAGTGAGCCTGGCACTCTGTATTTTAAACAATGGACATCAAAGCTTAAACTATTGCTTGAGAGGAATGTCAAATATGAGAAATGTCTAGGTAGAGGTTACAAAAGAGAAGGGAGAAAAAAAAGAATTAGACTTAGCAACAGTATAAAGTACAAGCCATGAATGGTTAAATATATACCTTCCTCACCATATTTCTAATGTAGATACTACAAATATCTAGGATTACAAGTTTAAAAAAAAAATATTATATATACATACACATAGATAGATAGGTCTTGTGGTCTAAGTAAAAATGTTATTCTGAAATTAGGTTATGACATATTGTGTACCGAGTTGGTATCCTGATAGAAAAGCTCACTTTTTGAGAAATTTCATACTGAAGACTAGTCCAGGCATCACTCCCTATACCCATGTGCCTACTTAGGCCTCTGCTAAAGAACCTTAGCTGATCAACTGTTCTTAGCTGATCAGCTGAGAACCTTTTTTAGTATCACCTTGAGTGGATAGTAGATAAATGACAGGAACAAATCTCTTACCGCAGTAAGGGGTCCTTCCGCTTGTGCCTCCATTGGACTTGTGGGTGTTGCTGCAATAAACTGACCACCAGCTCCAGCCTGGAGTTCTAGCCTATCTGTATATTGCTCTAAAGCAGCAGTGGCAAGGCACTCCCCAGAAAGTGCTAAGATCACATCTGAGGTTTCCTTCTTGAAATGAGTATTTTCTGCCCAAGGATCCAATCGGAGCTTTTCATCTTGAGGTGATTCCTCTAGAACTTGAAGTACTTCAGGCTCCTCATCAGAAGGGCTCCCCGTGGTTTTATGGCCTAAAACCTCATTTGTCCTAAAATCCCGAAGGTCCTGCTCCTTGTCCACAATCACCCATTCTTTGGAATCAACCTCCTGTTTGCAAGAGCTCAAATTAACAGCTATAAATCCATTGCTGCCACCGCCATCCACCTGCTCAGGGGTGTTGGCAGAGGCAGGCTTAGAAGCATCTGGAAGATATTCTTCATCATAGTTCCAGATGTGGTCAGTACGGGCTCCAGCAGGAACACAAGGCTTATGAAGCAGAGCAGGAAGAACGGGTTCCTTTCCTGCATCTTTCTGCATTTTCTCCAGGCTTAAGAAAACAGAGAAAAGTTACTCAACTGCTCAAGGGTAGTATATATTGCATAACCTATAAGCTCTATACAGAATTAACATTCACACAGAGATCAGAGAGGAAAAATATGGATAAAGCATAAGGAAAGTTTCACTGGTTGATAATGCTCTTCTCTTCACCTGTCATAATCCTGTTTTGGAAGATGGAGCCCATGGGAGGAAGATGTCTCTCCTGCTGCAGGACAGGAGAGAAGCCTAACTGGGTTGACTTGTATGATCCACTTCACCTTTGCTTTGCCAATTCAGTCACACTGCCCTCTGCTTCTCTGCTCTCTCTGAGGGACTGAGAACAACTCACCCAAGGGGCTTTTGCCTCACCAGAAGCCCTATTAAAGGAAACAGAGTCCTGGCCAGTGTGGCTAAGTTGTTTGGGCCTTGTTCCATGCACCAGGAAGTTGCCAGCTTGATTCCTGGTCAGGGCACATGCCCAGGTTTTGGGCTTGATCCCGGGTTGGGAGAGTGCAGGAGGAGCTGTCACATGGATGTTTCTTTCTCCCTCCTTCCCTTCCTCTCTCTCTAAAAAATCAATAAACTTTTTAAAAAAGGAAAGCAGCTAGTATACATAAGGAAAATACTTTCTGCATTTGTTTGTCTCTAGCAATGTATGTAAATGTATACTCATTCAATTACACTCCTCCAAAGGCAGGGCTTTGAAGAAGAGCAGGTAGTGTACCTGCTCACCCACACCCAGCCCACTATGCACAAAGAACTCCATATATGGTGGTAGGGCGGTGGTGGTGGTATGGGGGAAGATTCAGGGTATATTTTCAGTTTTGTTGGATCAAGAAGCAGTTGACATTATATATACAAATCTCTGCTGCCTGAGGAGCAGGTAACATAGTGTAACTGGTGGTATTTGGCTGCACTGGCTTCTGAGAACTGATCTCATCTGTAAGGAAGTAGTTTAAGCAATACACTTTTCCTTTCCTTAAGTTATAATTAGGTGCTTCAATTCCCTGTTCATTCTAGGTTCTGGCTTGAGTTCATTTTCTTGGATTAATTCTGTTCTCAACCTGTCTTATGTCTCAGCTCTTCCCTCAGCATGGACTCTCTTTTTAAAACGTTTCATTCTTTTGGTAGACTAATTTTTTACCAAACTAAGCTTTTATCCCTATTGTACCTTTATATTTATTCCAAATCTTAGCCACAACTCAAAATGTTTAAATACTGCCCCAAACCTAGTCCATCCTTTTGATCATATCAACATGTAGACACAAGCTTACATCACATAGCTGTGAGATGGAATGATTACCATGTGAGGAAGACTACACATAGATGAAGGACTGCTTAAAACGGAAGCCAGACTGGACCACGACAGAGAGGCTCAATTGTCTCTGGACATAGTTACTACCATGTCAAGTACATGATCCTTCTAACCTACTATTCCACTGCCAATAATAGCCATCGGCGATGTACACTGAAGAGTGTGACTATTACTGAAGTCATTCTGGTCTTAATATTATTGAAGCCTTCTATAATTCATAAAACCATATCCTAATTTCTTTTAAAAGTTTCATTCTGACTTTTGTTTGTTATCAAAATTTGAGGATAATGGGCCTCACAACCATGAACTGCAATCATTACCAATGTATGGCTCTCTAAAGTTCCATCTTTCCTTCTTCTTAGGTAGAATGATAAACTTATTCACGTCTATTTTTCCTACAGCACTTACTCATAGAAGACCTTCATTAAAATGAACTGAGTTGCCTGTCCCTTGTATATAAATTCCTTTTTTCCCTCTTTCATGTACTCACCCCTCCTTCCTACTTAATGCCCTCTCCAACTCTACACTGCATCTTCTCCATTCCAATAAAAGAGATCACATTCCAAACAAAGTCACTTCAAAATGTTCATTTGACTTATACTTAGTATTATGAAGTTACCAGCCCCCACTGCTCAGCTCCCAAAGCCAAAGGCTATGTTATAGAACTTTTAAAAATATTAGGAGACAATTCACATCAAAAATCAGGATGATAATTAAAACCATGGATGAAGAGGAGAGCTTAATCAAATCAGTGCTACAGAAATGCAAGAATTTATTTGACTTTACATAATAGAAATAAATAAAAATTTAAAATAATAAAATCTTAATAGCTTTTAAAAAAGAGGAAAAACTATTTTATACCAGGTCTCAAGAAACTTGTCAGTATCTGGCTTTGGCTCCAGTGTCAGACGTTTTTCCAGCTCAAAGCTGTGGATAGAACGTAACTTTCGCACCAATGGGACATCTCTGTCTGGCTGAGTAATCTCTGAGCGGACACGAATTGGTGAACCGAGGCTTGGAGCATTCAGAATACCATTCACTTGACCATGGCTATTCTCCTCTTCAGTAGCAGCCTAGACAAAATATAAAAGAAGACCATGAAACCATTCCAGTTACTATATGTGGTAGTAATTATTAAAGTCTTTCAATATAACATAAGCAAATGAATGGGATGTGTTTTCACAGGATTAGGATATTTTGGCTAGTTTAGGTCATGGCATACTTGTCTATTAACCCTTTATTAGGTGAGCTTTCTTAATTCTCAGGTTTCAGTATTTAGTTTCTATATTTTTGGTACAAAGATCAATAGTCTAAAAATGTTTAATAGCCTTAAACCTTTCCTATTATGTCTAACTAAAAACTCCCAGGACCCCATCCACTAAACTAAAGCTAAAACTTGGAAAGGACATTCTCTTTGAGACAAGTGGTTTCACAGGAGGTAGGAGAGGTTACCAAGCCTCAATACCCCGCCACATTCCCTCTCTAAAAATCAAACAAGAAGAAGAAAACATGGTGTTTGAACAATAAGGAACTGGGCAGAGCAGGAGGCCACTGAGCATTAGGCAGCACAGAGGGGTGGAGCTACCTACTCACAGATGCCTACAGCAGTGCAATTATCAGGAAAATTAAGACTTCCACCAGTACTGGGATGAGAGAGGGGAATCTGGGACATCTTTTCTGATTAAAGGCCCTCAAGGAAATGCCCAATTTGTCTACTTTGGCTACTAGCAGAAGCCAAAGACAATCTTTTCTGAAGGAAGGTTTCTCCACTCCCTAATTTAGGTCTACAGAACTCCCACCAATGGTTAATTAAAGAGTAAAACATTAAAGAGAGTCAAACAAGCGCTGGCCAGTGTGACTCAGCTGGTTAGAGTGTAGCCTCATACACCAAAAGGTTGCGGGCTCCATCCTTGGTCGGGGAACATAAGGGAGGTAACCGATTGATGTTTCTCTCACTATCTCTCTCAAATCAATTAAAAAAACATACCCTGGGTTGAAGATTAAAAAAAAAAAAAGATAGTCAAACACATGAGAAGGCATGCCCCCGTGACTAAGAGTCAGCAAGCAGATATGATACTTTTTTTAAATGTAAACTTTCCAAAACCCTCCGCTATCAAACTTGTTTAGATACAGAATATAGAATAGTTATGGATAAAATGTTTAAATAAAGAATTTTTTGGAATTAACTGATGAGTTTAATATTAAACATTCAATTAACAAATTAAACAAATTAGCTATAAAAGGCCACAGTTATTAATTAGTGAACTAGAAGACACAGAAAAAGAAATTACATAGAATGAAGCACAGCAAGGTGAGAAAAATATGGAAAAAGATATTAAAAGGTATGACAAATAGAATAAAAAAGGCATAATATATGTTTAATTGGAATCCCAGGAAGAGAGAACAGAAAGAATGAAGAGGTGGCAATATTCAGGTAGAGAACAGCTGTGTATCTTCTAGAACTGATAAAAAAATATGAATCAAAGATTCAGAAAACATAAGAAATCCTAAGCAGGATAAACAAAAAGAAATATATGTGTAGCCTGGCCGGCATGGCTCAGCGGTTGAGCATCGATCTATGATCCAGGAAATCGAGGTTTGCGTCCCAGTCAGGGCACATGCCCAAGTTGCAGGCTCATCCCTGGCAGGGGGCATGCTGATCAATAACTCTCTTTCATCATTGATGTTTCTGTCTCTCTCTGAAATCAATAAAAATATATTAAGAAAAAGAAAAGAAAAAAAAAAATATGTGTAGATATACTGTAGTTAAAATGCAGAACACCAAAGACAAGAAGAAAAGCTAAAAAGTAGCTGGGGTGGGAGGACAGGTAGAATGATCATTAAAAAAAAAAATCAGAATAAACAGCAGACTTCTGATACCAATAGATGAAGCAAGAGAAAAAATAACTGTCAATCAAAAACTTTGAATCTAATAAAAAAGAAAAAAAAAAAGCTTTGAATCCAGCATAAACTATTGTTAAAAGAATGAGGTTGAAAAAAATACATTACTGCTAAGTAAAAATCGAAAGAGCTCTCTACCAAAAGACCTCAACTAAAGGAGCTTCCAAAGGAAGTATTTCAGGAAGAAAGATGAGTCCAGATTAAAAAAAATAAAGAAGACAGATGAGTCCAGGACTTTAAAAAATGCAAGGAAATGGTAAACACTTTTTTAAAATTCATATAAACATTAGTTGTACGAAAGAACAACACTAATATCTAAGTGGTTTTTTTAAAAAAATGAAATTAAAAAATAAAAGAGAACTAATAGAGATTAAATAGTGATAATGGATGAAAAAAAACTAAATAATTAAGATCTATGCCAAGTGCCATCTCACTCTCTCACATACACAGATAGCAATATGGGCTGGCAACTAGAGGTTTTTGGGTTGTTGTTTTTTTTACCATAAGAACAATTTGCTCTTGGTGCCATAGAGAGAGCCAAAGCTGACATTCCCTAAAATCTGACACTGACCTTCTAACAACTTTTTCACTACTTATTCCTGATTACTATTAGTCCAAATAGCATGTATTCAATAGCCAGACCACAGTGCACCATATCACACCTATTCAGAGAAAGTTTTTGCAAATGACTCCCATGATGGAAAGTATATACTCTTATTTTTTAAACATATAGTTTAACAATGTAGTATATATTATCCAAAGATAGGCCAAGCTCCTCAGAAGTGATCATAGAGAATTCTTTTCAAGATATATTCCTCATTCATAAAGCATGACTAGCCAACTTTCTATCAATCATGTTAACAGGTATGAAGCCTAGGTCTCATTTTACACACCTAGAAGCTTAACCTCCTTTGCAACTAGACCTTTATAAAAACATAGGAAGCAGCAAAAACTGATTTCTAACTCCTTGTCCCTACATACCATTTCTCTTCATCTGATCCTCTATGAAAATGGAAATGATGAGGAACAGTAAGATCAGAGAGAAATTTGGGGAAAAACTGCCCCAAGGTTACTAAAAATTAATCATTCAATTCAGTATCTTTCCCCATACTTCAGGTGGACTTGCTTGCCATCCTGATGAAGAAAAATTCATGTCATTTTTTCAACATCCACTTCGTCAACTCATAAACAGTTTGCTTGATGCTTCCCACTTCCAACTCTCACTTCCCCACCTCCATTTGAGACAGTTTTCAGAATGGGTACTTATAGCTCCATCAGTCCACACCAAAGGAGGAGCCCAGAGTTATTGTCACATTATTTAGGAAGACTATTAACTTCTGTTCTATAGATGTCTCTTCCTTTTGTCTCAATGTCTAGTGTTTTTTTTAAAATACCTTTATCTTTTATACAAAATACAAGATGAAGATTAATGTTCAATGCCCATATTTCAACATTTTAGGCAAAATTAGCCAAAATATTGCAATTACAAATATAGAAATAACTAGCAATACACTGTTTTGTCTATTTCTCATTCAAAATTGAGAATCATTATACTTTGCTATAGCAATAGGAGAAAAATAATAAGTACATAGAAATACATCACTTCTATGCAAGAAATACGCACCTTACAAATCCCAAGCTTTATCTTGTTCCTGTTGGCATCCATCTCTTCCCAGACATCCTTCTCCTGAGGATGAGTGTGTCCCAGAGATCCAGGCAATTTATCTGGTGACATACCAACAGGGATGCCATTCTCCCCATCACTAAGCTGTTCATCTGGAAACACTTCATCTGTATTTTCTCGAAGCAAGTCCCCTGGGATGGGAGTGGCATTGGCAATTCTAAAAATGAGGGGTAAAGAAAAGGTAGAACTTAAAAACACCAGGGGGAAAAAATTACTAGGAGACTATTTTACATTTTGCATAAGTTAAATTATGCAATCTATATATCATTAAAAGAGTGAAACAGAACAAAACCAAAAAAACTTATTAATAGGTCATGTCAATTCTACAAAATAAAACTTTACATTTTAATCAACAGAATTTTCAACCTGATTTAAAAATAAAAATTCTAATACAATAACTCACTGATTTAACAATTACTTTAAAAGTTATTAACATTTGGCTTATTTTCCAAGAAGTCTTTGTCAGTTTTTGTACTTTCTGTTTTTTTAACCTTTCTCTTAAAGAATAACAAAAACTATAAATAGGAAAATGTTAAGAATCATAATGATATAAGCAAGTATCAGACCAATAAGTTATGTTATGTTTTTTAATAATGTGAAATGTGCATTTCTTTTTTCATTTATAGACGTTTTACTAAGTACCTACTCCATGCAAGGCCTTCAGGGGACATAAAGAGGAGAAAGGAAATTCTTGCCTTCTAGGGGAAACTAGAAAATCTGCAATTACACAGTTCATACATCTGCATGAACTGACCAGGAACAATATAGAAAATGTAAATTGGCACTTTGTCTATTTACTGCTTTCAAAGTAACTTCATGCCTATTTACATGATTGATCATCCTTCCCTTAGGCTTCTAGCCCATGAAGGGCTTTTCAAGTTCTGTTATCACTAAGTGATCAGGCCCCTGCCAGCTCTAACTCTACACTATACTCAATTTTTTTTAATACTGCTGATTGAACACAATATTTAGCATACAATGAAACCTTTTCTTAGAAGTGATCTGGAATGTTTAAAAGTAGAAAACCAGTCTTCAGTAGATTACACTGACACAATTATTATGAGTGGCAAAATAGGCATCTTCTCAGTGAACCACTCACTCTATGGGTAACAGCTATACCCTGGCCCAGGTGTCATAAATATGTTGTGCTGTGAGAACAACGGTCAGTCATTTTCAGGGACTTGTTCCACCTGATTTGATGACCTTCACTACCACTTCTCCCTACCGAGGTCTTCATCAATAGGTTAGAGGTAAATAATATAGAAAAGCATTGGCCATGGCTCTCAGGAAAAAAACCTTATAGCCTTGTAAAGTAGTACCTGTAGTTCTGACACTAAGAACATCTTGAAAAGGTACTTTTGCCTAAAATAGTTCAAATGAAGGATTTAACTATAAAAGTAAAGTTCAGTAGGGGGTGGGGTGGAGGTAGAAGAGGGAATAGAGGGATAAATGGTGATGGAAAAAAATAAAATTTTTAAAAAGTTAAGAAATAAATAGGCTATTGAAGGATTTTTCAGGTATAAATTCAATATAATTTATTTATTGATACAAGGAATTACAATGGACACTAATATATGTGTTATGTGGTATTCCAAATGTTTATTGAAAAAATTCCCTCTATTTCTGAGGAAAGGGACTGGGGCCAAGAGGATAAATATTTGAGTTCAGAAAGCTCAGTCTACTAGCCCCAAGCGCCCCCCCAATCACTCAGTATTCTTCCAAATCCTTTTTTCCATATGCCGAGCTACTACTCTGCTTCTTTCCAACTACCCAATTCCTTGGCATTTTCTTCTTCCACTCCTCAGGGGACAAACCACACCTCCACCTATGAGACTGCTTCTATTTTTACTCTACCTTAGTTTCCTCTGTCTCTCTTATGCTTCACTATAATACCACACACTTCAAGGAGCTCTTCCATCGTCTCCACACAAGCTGGCTCCCCTCTGTACTAATTCTCCCATTTTTACTCCTTACATTATTTTCTTCCTTCTCCTTAAACTCTGATCCAAATCTGGACTTTGAGATATAGAAAGAATTCCTTTCCAGAGAAATTGTGTTAAGGAATAAGAATGATTGAGAAAGTATGTGTGAGTATTTTTAGCTCAAGGTATGTGTTTGCAGGTGAGGTATAAATTATAGAAGTAGATTAGGTAGAAAAGTAAGGAGGTGTACGGGAGAACTGGAAAAGTAGTAAGAATGGACATCCTTTTCATATTCCCTTCCCCATAATCTAAGTCAGGAGCTGGCAAACTAGGGCTTGTGAGCCAAATCTGGCCTGCTTACCTATTTTTTGTTTATACAGTGTTATGGCACACAGTCACGCTCACACGTTTCCAAGTTATCTATGGCTTCTTTAGCACTACAATAGCAACGATAATGGAGACAGAGGCAGAAGAGTCCACAAATATTTATCTGGCCCTTTACAGATAAGGTTTGCTGACTCCTAATCTAAAGCATTTTCCTACCTTCTCCTGAACTTACTTTCTCCTTCTACTAAGACATTCAGAGTTGCGGGACATACATTATCATTTTTTATCTTTAACACTTATTCTCTAGGGCTTTGCACTTATTCTTCCATATCATTTGCAAACAGAGAATTCAGAGGTCAGCAAACTTTTTCTTAAAGGGCCAGACAATAAATGGTAGGCTTATGGGTCTAATACCCCCCCTGCCCCTCCAGTGATTCAGCTAGTTTAAATTCCATGCAATCTTTAAGCCTTGGGCTAATATGTATTATACAATTCTCGGTCTGCCTTTTCAAAGGCACTTCAACTTATAAATACCATGCTAGCCCCTCCCCAGGAAAACAGGACCAAGTTAACTGCCCAGTCAACTAACAGCAGGAATCCTAGTCCTTCTCAAGTCAGTTTCCCATTTGCACTACCTTTTCTCTAGCCCCTTTTAAATTATTTCTTTTTTTTTCCTCTTGAGGCTTTCCCCCCCGATTTTATTCAATGTCCTTTACGAAATTTTCATTTGAGTCTATTCTCCTTTGTGCATTTTGTAATTTACTCAATTCTGAGATATCTTTTTCTTCCATTTCTTTCCTGACTTCAATCAGTTCTCATTTCATTTCTTCCTCTCTGTTCCTCTCTCTGTCCCCACCTCTTTTGGGGTCTAATTCTTGAAAAAAAAATTTTTTTTTAAATTACAGTTGACATAAAAAATTATATTAGTTTCAGGTATATAATATAGTTATTAAACATTTATATACCTTACAAAGTGATCCCCCCAATAATTCTAGTACCCATCTGATATAATATAGTTATTATAGTATTACTGACTTATTCGCTATGCTGTACTTGACATCCCTGTAACTATTTTTTATAACTGGAAATTTGTACTTCTTAATCCCTTTCACCTTTTTCACTCACCCCTGGGTGAGGGTGGGGGGTGTCTATTTCTATTCTTAGTTTTTAAATTTCTGATGTAAGGTGGATATCCATATCTTCAAATTAATGAGCATATTTAATTCCATTTTGGGCCTTACAGTTGTCTCTTTCTTTCTTTTTTACAGTTTTCTAAATGGTTGTTTTTTTCTTTTTTCACCAATAATTACTCCCCCCCCCC